AAAAAAAAAAAACACAAAAAAACTACATTCTCCAACTTTTGGACTATCTTTCAGAATTCTTTTTTCCAAAGTGCTTGGAAATTATCCCTGAGCCAGGGAGGATCCATATAAAGAAATCAAGATGGCAGACAGAGATAAGTCAGAGGCAGCAGGTCCATGGAGTGCTGCTGTATCTGCACCCACGTGGTGGGTGTCTGAGGTCTGGCATCATGGAGGAAGAGTCAGTCAATGTGGGGAACAGGAGAGGTGAAAAGCTCATTCCCCTTAAATTTAGATGAACCCCTGTAGGGAACAACTCTACATAATTATGGAGAAAAATCATTTAATTAGGCCTAGTTCTCCTGCCTACAGGTCAGCTATGGCATTTCTAGACATGGCTCCATTTTGGCACCTGGTCACAGCTAGGAATTCAATGGTCCAGTGATGCTATGATGCTCCCGAACAAGATTGCACCTGCTCATGCACCCTATAAATTTTGAATTATCTTCTTTGTCTGCCCTTGAGGCAGGTGGTGGAACCACTAAGCTAAATCCCTGGCCTTTGTCTGCCCTTGAAATATCACAGGGGTTAAACTCCTGTATTCTAACCAAAATTCTTTATTTTTTTCTACTCCTTCACAATGGTTCCAAATTCTCACATCAGTCCAGATAGAAACATATCTGGTGAAGATATTTCTTCTAAATGAACCCATTAGCTGGAATCAAGCTGAAGTGTCATTAGGGAAAGTTTCAGAAAGGAATACCTCAAACAATGCCAAGATGGAGCAGTTTGGATTACAAAGAAAGCAGCACTAGATGCTAGGGTAATCGGTCTAAATTATATAAAGAAGGAGCTGCAGCATTCTTACAGTGTACAGCAAGACATCCATCCACCTAGAATATTAGCAGGACAAGTTATGGAGTTTTGCATAGGGCTTAAAGAATTTGGTTGAGGGCAGAAGCTAGTTTCTACATGTTTAGGATTAGCTTCTCTGTTTTCAAGCAACAATTTAAACAAGTTTATCAGCTCTGGGGAATGTTCAAGGCACCAACTAAGTTCAAATGTGCAGGAGGGTGGCTGGGGATTTGGCTCAGTGGTTCCGCCACCTGCCTCGCAAGCTCAAGGTCCCAAGTTCAATCCCCAGTGCCAAAAAAACACAAGTGTACAGGGGAAAACATGCAGCTGGCTGGGTCACAGAGCAGTCAGGGTACTCTGAGTTTCTCAGTCAGGACACAAAGAAAGCAGTGGAATGGGGAACCCTACAGAACAGATGACTAGGAAAGAAGCATAGAGCTCACCCAACTGATTACATAATCCTCCTGTCCAACTACCCCTCTTAGCCCTGGCTGAACATGAAACTAAGAACACTTCTCCTAATTCGAAACTAAGAAAATTGACCCTAAGAGAAGATGACTGACTTTTTTCATGGACTTAGAACCACTGGGAAGCTGATGTTCACCTTTTCTTTGAAGAGCATCTCTGAGCTATCTGGAGTCCAGCAACCAAGGTAACAGTAGCCAATTCGTCTTTATCACCACCACCTTTGTCATTAGAATTGGCACTTACTGAGTGTGTACTATAGTCTCAGCCACTCATTTACCTTATTAAATCCCCTCAATAATTCCCATTGGGATGACTTCATCGTCCTCTTTTTAGAGGTATTGAAACTGAGATGCAGAGGGGTCTGTAACTTGCCCATTTCCACATAGCTAGTAGGTGATGGTGGCAAGATGCAATTGCAAATAAATCTGAGTTCAAATGTCCATGCTTTGGGCCACTCTGCTATCCCCTGCACCACTTCACAAGTTCAGCCTGTGTGTCAACAAGGCTACTTCTTATATTAAGCAGCATGCACTTTGGGTGGTAGCCAGGGAAACTGTCATATCCAACTCTCTGTTACCACTCTGGGTTCTTGAACTCCCCAGGGAAAGCATGTATTTCTGCTGCAGCAGCTTTGGATCCTACATTTCCAAGCCTTCTCTAATCACTGGCTGTTCCATGTGGATGATCATTTTTTCCATGCAATACTTTCCCTTCTTCACAATGCCAAACTCCTTCCTAACCTGTTTTCTCACTCCCCTTTTTAAGAACGCCTTCTCAGATAAACAAAAGCTGTGACCCCCGGACCCTACCACCCCTGAGAAAGAGCTTGAACCCTGGTTCCATCCTGGCTAAATGATGCCCAGTCAGACTCCCCATCTGCTCAGGTTCATGTGTCCCAACTCCCCCACATGCCATGTTACTCTAGCATCTTTATTCACCGCCACAAAATACCCATTCAAAGGAAGTGCCATAAACAAAAGAGATTGAGACTGGCTGATAATTTCAAATGCAGTTTATTGCAGCAAAACAAGAAAATGGGGAGTTGAATGCCTCTCCATGAAAGACAAACAACTTGCATACACCTTATGTACAAAACCAAAACAGCACATAGCTTGCTGCAAGAGACAAGATACTGAAGAGACTGCCAGAGAATTGCTCTAAGCATGACAGAGAAGCCCTGCGTCTAATGGTCCTCCTCTGGCTGGAAGAAGGAGGCTTTTTGAAATGTCACTTGTATCATGGTAATGGCTGAACTGTTTCTCAGACAAAGCACAAAGCAGGGTCTTAGCCAGAGACTGAGATTGCCACTGGCCTGAAAACTTTTGAGAGCAGGGCAGAAAAGAAAGAGCAGGGGTAATTGGCTGAACTGGAATGTCTAACCATAGCTCTTTTCTCTAATAAGGCTGGAGCAATCGACCTTGATCTTGCCAAGCCTATTTGATGGTGATGGAAACAGGAGAGCTAATGGGATAGAGAGCACATTTATCTGGAATAAGTGGTGGAAACAAATTTTATGCTCGAACTGCCACTGGGGGTCTTATGGCCCCCGGAGCCGGATCCCCGGCCTCCAGAGGAGACAAAGCCCCCTCCAGAGTTCCCCCGGCTGCCAGAGCTGCCACCACCCCCTCCAGAGCCACCTCTGTGGCCCCCACTGCTGCCTCCGGAGCCGTAGCTACCGCCGCCACCTCCAGAACCATAGCTGGCACCCCCGGAACTGTAGCTACCGCCTCCGCCGCCGCCGCCACCTCCAGAGCCGTAACTGCCGCCTCCAGAGCTGTACCCTCCGCCACCTCGGATACTGCCTCCACTGATGCTAGTGTGGCTGGTGCTCACAGCTGCAAAGAGAGACTCGGTCATCTTCAATCCCACCCTTTCCAACCCATCAGGATCCGGCCATACCCCTGAGAAATCGGCCTGTACTTACACATGCTCACGTTGGCGGAACACTCTCCAGACATCCTGTAGGATTAAAAACAAATCCCTCAGAACACACCTGCTTCACACCCCTTCCCCACACCCTCTCAGCTGCCTCCGAGACTCTGCCAAACTGAGGAGCCCCCAGGGCACTCCATCTGAAACCTACTTCAGGCCCTCTGTCCTCCCAAACCTCTGTCATCTTTCTCAGCATGAGTACAAACTTGGAGACATGGCTACATAAATTAGACAAGAGCTGGGTGAAGGGAGGGCAGAGGTAAGGGGAAAAAATGAGAATCAAGACTTGTCATGTAGAGGTACAAGATCCCAACAATGAATGTAACTGTACTGTATCCCTAAAATGTACCAATAAACTCAATTAAAGCTGAAAAAAAAATTAGACAAGAGCTAACAGAGGCTACCTCTAAAGGCGTGAACTTTATGTCAGATGACATGTGAGCCAAGCCAAGTGAAAGAGGCATGGCTGCATCTCAAACAGAAATGCAACAGTGGGAGGAAGGAAAGGGCAGGGCAGAAGAGAGAGGAGCAGCAGCCTGACGGTTGTGTCTTCAGTAACAGTCCACTCGCAAGGAAAGAAGCCCTAAAACAGCAATCTAGCTGCCTTCCTCACCGGCTTTCCTCTCCTTCTAGGAGAGTCCTGTAGGTGGCGATCTCCACATCCAAGGCCAGTTTGACATTCATGAGCTCCTGGTAGTCACGCAGCAGCCTAGCCAGGTCCTCCTTGGCCTGCTGCAGGGCGTCCTCCAGCTCATTCAGCTTGTTCTGGGCATCTTTGAGTGCATTCTCACCACGCTGCTCGGCATCAGCAATGGACTGATGCAACTGGGAGATCTGAGAAAAGAAAAAAACGTGTATCATTCCTGTCTAGATTACCTAACCCCCACCTTGACCATCCCATTGCAAATCGCATCTCCCCCCTGGTGGAGCCAATAGACTGAGTCCTGTAGAACCACTGGCACTTACATCACCACTGGGTAGCACATCGCCTTGCTGACTTCCTTCCACCACCTTAGAGGTGATGCAGCAACCTCTCCTGTCTCTGAATCGAGGTTCCTCTGCCCCTTCCCTCCTTGCTACCTTTCCTCCTCCTTAACTCTGAAGTGTTACTTTGATCATGGACTAGATCATTCATCATGATCATTGCATCTTTCTCTACTATGTCATTTTCACAGATTTTTCTTAAGAAAATCCCACATAATAGATAAATTCTGGAAACCAAAAGAATTGAGGGTAATATGTCCCTTTGGTATGAACTGTAAGACTTAAAACTAGAAAACCCTCCCCATTGTCCAATGGTTACCCCTATTCCATGCAGCTGAGCTCTACACAGGGGAAGAAAGTACCTGCTTCTTGACACTGTCAATTTCAGATCTCAGTCTCTGGATCACTCGATTCAGCTCAGAAATCTCCATCTTTGAGGTTTTCACACTGTCTCCATGTTTGCCAGCAGTGACCTGAAGCTCTTCATACTAAAGATAGTAAGTCATATGAATTAGATGGGGGCAGACCCTCCAGGCTCAGGCACCAAATATAAGAGATAGCACAGAACAGCAAGGAGAGACATTCTAGAGTATCAGGCATTCACCTTGGTCTGGTACAGGGCCTCAGCCTCAGCTTTGCTCCTCTGGGCAATGTCCTCATACTGGGCCTTGACTTCAGCAATGATGCTGTCCAGGTCCAGGCTGCGGTTGTTGTCCATGGACAGGATGACACTTGTTTCACTGATGTGAGTCTGCATCTGAGATAATTCCTGTAGGACATAATAGGTCAGTGATTCATGGTGCTGAAACAAAAAACTATGTGAACAGAGAGGTGGGAAATATATTTCTATTCCTCTGCAAAGCAGTAGGTTTAGGCTCAGAGACTCCATTTAGGTGGCTTTGGTTGAAATTAGAGTACTCACTGCTTCATAGAGTGCTGTCAAGAAATCAATTTCCTGCCTCAAGTTGTCAACTTTGGCTTGAAGATCCACCTTGTTCATATAAGCAGAATCTACATCCTAGAGGAACAAAGGATAACATGAAGGCTATTCTTTCCAAGATGGATCCCTCTCTTTAGCTATGACAGTGTTTTCTAAGTAGAAGTGGAGTTTGAGCTCTACTACCCTCCTTTTTGCTCCAGATACACCACAATTCCTGAATTGCCCTCCCTTTTGGAATCACAATCCAGGGAGCTTTCCTCTCTCACTGAGAACTTGCCTCCCTGCTTCCTACAGGAAATGCTGAGAAATTCAGAGAAGCTGAGTTGCTAGATTAGGTCCATGACAATGTGAACAAAGAGCTCTACTCCAGATATTCAGCAGTCCCACTACCTGGTTCTCCACATCATGGGTCCTTTCTGCTTATAATTGGAGACCCTCTCCTAGTACTTAGTTCCAAGCTAAATTCCAACCCACAGAATTTGCTTACCTTCTTGATCGTCACAAATTCATTTTCTGCATTTGTACGCTTGTTGATCTCATCCTCATACCTGCAGGAAAACAGAAATGATTACAGGAGTGATTAGGGGAGGGAAAGTCTGAAGCCCAGGATTCTAAACTAAAAGGAGCACTGCCTGTCATTGCCTTTCTGTTACAAGATACAATATATTAAAGGTGTAGGGAAAGGGGAAAGGTAATAAGGGAAAAGAAAAAAATAGGAGAAAATGAAAAAATGAAAATAAAGTGTTTGTAAATGGGGAGGGGAGGAGGGAGTGAAGGGAGGGCAGGGACAAGGGGAAAAAATGAGAACCAGACCTGTCGTGTAAAAGTACAAGATCCCAATAATGAATGTAACTGTACTGTATACCTAAAATGTACCGATAAACTCAATTTTTTAAAAAATATACAATATATTGACCACCTGTTTCTTCTGAGTGATTAAAAAAATCCCTAAGCTATCTCCACCTACTGAAAAGATGAAGACTTCTGAAAATGTCAAAGTCATTTGCTTCAAACCTAAGGATGACCTAGCTACATACTACTACTACACATTCTTAGTTTATCCCTCTCTGAAAACTTTTTACAGCAAGAGTCAAGAGCTGCCCAGGCAGGCTTTCTCACTTGTTCCGATAATCCTCCACCATGTCCTGCATGGTCTTCAGTTCCGAGTCCATCCGAGATTGGTCGCTCCTCAGCCGATCCACTTGCTTCCTGAGGTCGCTAATATAAGCCTCAAAATAGGGCTCTAAACTGAAGCTCCTTGTGGAGGTATCCACCTGCTGCAGCAGCTCCCATTTTGTCTGCAGCACCTGGTTCTGCTGCTCCAGGAATCGCACCTAAAAACACAAGATCCATCACCCTGGGGCAGAAATGGGTTCCTGTAGCCACCAAGCAAGACCAGTGTCTCATTTGAAAAGGAACTTCAATTTCTATTTACTACTCATGCCAAACAGAAGAATAGCAAGAAGGTCGAGTGGCATCTTCTTCAAAACAAAACCCAACTCATTCTTAATTCAGTGAAGCATTAAATGGAAGTAGCTACACAATCCCAGTAACTGAGCGTATGTGCCATTATGTTTTGAAAAAATGCATGCTATTTAAGAGATTTAGCTTCCAATCTTTGTAGGTGGCTATCCTATTAAAATTACTTTTCATTGACTGGGTATATATACAGTTAAAAATTACTTTGGGAAAATCCCAGATTGAACTTGAAATGTATCGTGGATAACTTTGGATTGATATTATTCATCATTAAGCAGAAAAGTGAAAATTGGTTTGAATGTTCTTCCAGAACTGATGCTTGGAATTATTAGTATTAAAACATCTGCACCCGGACCTGGTACCGATATATAATTCTCAGAGGGCAGAGCTCCCCTCTGATTCACTCTATTGTTTTTGCTAACCAGCACAAGCCACTCTCTTCATATTCAGTTCCCTTTTTATGGCTCAGTTCTCATTTGCACACTCATTTGAAATTTCTGTTAGTTTCATTTCCATTTTCTTCATTCAGCTCAAGAGTGTCAACTCAGCTCAATAGTTAAATAAGGAACATTCATGAGGTAAACATCAAACTGGCCTGTGCTTAAATCAATCACAAATCCTGTTGTCCAAGGGAGTTTAAATATTAGCATCATTTCCAAGCATACTTCCAATATACCTCCTAGAAGCCCATTCCACAAAATATCTTTATCATTGTCCAAGCATAGAAATGTACAGTTAAGCCCCCACATGGTTCGGCTGCTTGAATCTCAGAAGAAACAGGAACAGAATACTGAGCAAATAAACTCACCTTGTCGATGAAGGAGGCAAACTGATTGTTGAGTGTTTTGATTTGCTCCCTTTCTTGAGACTTTATTTTTTGGATCTCAGGGTCAATCTCCACATTGAGGGGTTGCAGAAGGCTCTGGTTGATGGTGACTTCCTGTATGCCACCAGGGGGGCAGACAGGCCCAAAGCCACCCCCATATCCACCACCCCCAAAACCACCTCCACTGCCAAAATTACCTCCACCTAAACCACCACCGCCAAAGACACCACCGCCAAAGACACCACCACCAAAGACACCACCACCATAGCCAAAACCACTACGACTACCTCCACCAGCCACATTAATGGAGATGCTCTTGCTGCCACCAAGGTTAATAAGACTCCTGCTTCCAAAACCGCCACCACCTCCTCCGCTCCCACAGAATCCTCCTGAAAATCTCCCACCACCTCCTCCACTGCGGCGCACAGAGCTAGTGGATCTACGCTGGAAGCTGACCAGCCCCGCAGAGCCAGAGCTGAAGCCCTTTCCACCACTCCGGCACAAAGACCTGGAACTATACTGCCTACTCATGTTGGCTTAGAGAGCAATAGAAGTAAAGAAGAGACAAAGGAGCCAAGCACTCCTCTGTCCTGAGCCCTAAGACTTCCCCTTATATAAGGAAGAGATTGGGCTTGGTCCTCCAGAGTCAGCGGAGATGCAGTGCCTCTGAAGGGTTTGGTTGCCTGCAGCCATACAAGATTTTTTACGAGCCTCAACAGCATGATAAACACTACACACCTAGCTCCTAGGATGGGCTCTCAAAATTGCTGTCCCGGCAAGATTGGCTAGTGTGGTAATCATTTTATCAAACGAGATCTCCATTCAAGCATTTGTGACTTTGGAAAATACGACCCCACATCTGCTACCTGTTGCCTCTTAGAAAGATTTCATAATTGTTGTCATAAGGATATGTGAGTTTCTATTCCTGCCTTTGTCCATATAAGATACTAATCTTGCCAGCAACAGCAGGTGTAGTGCTCCATGTTTGCATCTCTGAAGGAGCTCTCTGACCCAGCTCTGAGACCTGGCCCCCCAGCCCCACATATCACCAAGTTATAGCTCGTGACAAAGACTAGGGCTTTAATGACTTAAAAAATTAAATATTTTTAATGCCAGCTTTTATAAATGTACTGCTTTGACTGATTGAAGGAAAAAGAGCTGTCATCAAACAAAATGGATGAGTAGATGATCTGGAAGGACTAGGATGGAAAGACATGTTCTCTTCTAAGTTTTCCTGTTGTTCCTTTTCTCCAAAGATAGGACAGGGCAGGAATTAGACTAGACACCAACAACAGAAATCAGGTGCCAGTGAGTGGGATGCAAGTGCCAGGGGAAAAGCATGTGGAGCGATGAGATGAGTAGATATGTGATACATTTGGTAAAGCAAAGGAGTTGCCAGTTGTCCAAGCCTCACACTGGACAATAAAAATGAGGGTAGATTTAAGAGGAGGACAATACTGGAAATTTGAAAAACTGATCTGATCATTTCTAGAGATGATTATAATACTGATGACAACGATGACAGTGGTGGTGATGACAGTGGTAATACCAAAACCCAACTAGGCACTCTTTTCCATATTTTATATGCATTAACTCAATGTTCACAACAGCTTTATCTTTAAAATTAAAAGAATCTGGTTCACAGGGTGTGAAAAGCCTGCCAATGTCTACGTGGGTACCAATAGCACCACTGGGATTCAAACTAAGGATGAATATCTATATACAGCATGCAAGACCCTACCCTACATGTTGTAAACAGCATGGCGACTGAGCTCAAGTCTCCTTACCTGCTGCAGGTAAAGCCAGCTAGCATGGGAAGCTGCTACCCTGTGGTGGGCTCTGAGGACGAAGGCCTGGCAAACACAAGTACTTGCAGAATATTTCTTGATTCACTCTGAAAAAGAGAGACTGGAGATGGCAGAGTTCAGGGAGGTGCCGCTTCCATGTGAGAGGACCCAGCATGCATGCAATGGGCCAGGAAACCCCAGGGCCTCCCTGGAGGGCACCATTTGATCAATATTAGTGGAGAGTAGTGGCATTGAAATCTGGAAAAGCCAGAATCCTACACAGACTTTCATTCAAAGACTTCTTAAAAGCCTGGCATACTCCCCGCACTTGCACATAAACACAGAATGGAAGAGTCGTTGGAGAGACAGCTACTCTAAATTCAGCTAGACACATGCAAGCAACTCTGTGAGCAGCAAGTCATAGACTTGTGTGGGAAGTGTCCAGTCTGGAATGCAAGATCTGCAAGAGAAGGACATTCATGAAGTCCACTGAGTCCCATCATCCTGTGGTTCTGAGCCAAGACGATATGTCTGTCCTCTGTAGCCCTTCCTCACTACCAAGCCTTCTCCCTCCTCTCTTCCCACAGCATTTGCCATATACCTTCCTCCAAAAGTGGCCCTCACCACTCTAGTACTCCCCTGTCATCCTCCATCTCCATGGCACTGCTGTCTGGAACTCCATCCTAGCACTAACATCCTTAGACCAATCATCTCTTTAGGGAATGAGTAATCCAGGTCTTGGGAACAATGGGGACTGGGATGGTCTTGGCATGATGATAATAACTGTTGCTTAATCATCGTGTGACAGGCAATCAAAATTCCTTTAGTTCAGCATACTCCCTATGAGACATATCATCCTGTACAATCGATTCCTTCTAGCATTTTGGAGGGGTGTGCATATCTGTATGTGTGCGGTTGGTGTGCACGTTTGTGCTGAGCAAAATCAGATATTTGAGTGATCTGTGCTTCCAAACTAAAACACTGACAGAGAAAAAGAGGCAGTAGTCAAGCATTTGACAGATAATTTCCAGAGCTGCAAACATGGTCTAGGAGTTACCATGAGAAAACAGAAAATCGGGAACTAGAAAGAAAAGGGAGGCATAAAAATCGCCATCTGCTTACATTTGCACAGTTCACCACCACCAAGCACATTTCCAAACACCATTCCTACAAGAGCCCTAAGAATTGGGCAGTCAAGTTACTTCCAAACTGCAGTACAAACTGAAGCCCAGAGACTTACTCTACCCTCAGCTAGGGCACATCTACAACTAGACCCTTGGTTTTCTAGTAATATTCCTCCCACACTGGCAAACAGATGCAAAGACAAGTCATTGGTACTAGTTCCTACAAATGAGGGCAGAAAATCACAGGACATCTCCATCCATGAGTGATCAAAAGCCACACCATTTAACTTGCCCAGCAGAGTAGTAAGAACATGAGCCCAAGGAAGTAATCAAACTTTTTCCAGCCCATGTGATCAATTCCTGGGACTCCTCTAATTTCTGAATCAAACACTGCTCACTTTTGAGGCAGACCAGTAGGGTTGGACTGGCAATGGTGTTGGCTAACCAGGTTCATCATTTCCTTTGATGTCCCTAAGACTGTGGTGGGTGCATGAGGATATTAAAATTCACATGTGGAGCAAAGGTGTGACCCCCATACCCTCACTGTTGATTTATGTATATTCTCTGCATTTACCAACTAAAGACAAAATGAGAAAGCAGAGGTACTAACATCTGTAATGTACCAACTCCCAATGAGGAGCTACATCTCACTTGAACATCACCAAGAGAACCTCAAGCTGGTAGATATTAGACCCATTCTAAGAAAGAAAATACAGCCTTGGTTCATAGAGGTTTAAATGTGTACCCAGGGTCACTCAGCTGGTAATTGACATGCCAAGCTTTTCCAACTCCAGAATAGTCAGTGCCTCCTGTCCTTGGGCTGCCTTCACTGCCTGCACCACCTACACCTTTCCCTGCTCACCTTATCACCCATCTTCATGATGTGACCCTTTCTCCCCCATGCTTTGCCTACACTGTTCAACCCTTCTTTTTTCCTCTCCATTTTCCCAGCTCACTTCTATTTTTCTCTTCTCTGTAACACCTGAAATTGCCCTAGCAACTCTCTTCAAACCCCTTTCTGCTATCATGCTCTGGGACCTCAACCTTGAGCTTTTTATCTTGGGTCTGTTTTCAGTCCACCACCCCTTGAGTGTGATGTGTTTCTCCCTCCTACTCCATGGGTTGGGACCAAGCTTTGCTCTCATCTCCTCCAGGGAGTTCTCCTTAATTAACATCACACAGCTGCTCTCTGGTTTTATTTTCCTAAGCTTGGTTGCTGCCAGATACAAGTGCACATGGATGCATGCTTTAGCCTATTTGCACATGTGTCTGTATGTGTATTTGTTGGCCACCCACCCCCAATTAATCTGTAAGCCCTCTGGAAGCAAGATCGCATCTTCTGTGTCTTTGGGTGTCCCAGATTCCCATGCAGCTCTCCGCACTGGAGGAGTACTCCAGGCAGAACTAGGTGATACAGAGCTGAAACACCTGTGCAGGATTCACATCCCAGCAATGATGGCTGGGGTTGCCACAGGAAGGCTGCAGGGCATGGGCAGAGGCAGTTATGGTGATGTTTTGAGAGCTTTTTGAAGGAGGGGCCTGGAAAAGCATTGAAGAAAGACACGCAATGACAAGCCACCCAGCCCTGCGGGACTCCACCAGGGACGTGGGAGAGGGAATTTCAGGGGAGTGGGGAAAGTCAAAGCCTGGGAGGAGTATAGGGGAGTCCTAGACAATGAGGAGGCGGGGTGAGATGTTGAAAGCAACAAGCCACTGAGGAGGGGCTGAGACTTTTTATGCAGGAGGGAGAGTTACAAAGATAGGAGCAGCCTTGATAAGGACAGACAGCAGGAGAGAAGCCCCAGAACCTATCAGAGTACTGTGAGAGCAAAGCAGAGGCCAGGCAAGAGGAAGCCAAAGGTACATGTGTAGGAGAGAGGCAGGAGCACCTTGTCATACTCTGTGCCATGGAGTCAGCCAGGCCTGTGTGCAGTCCTGGTGCACCTTTCTAGCCATATGACCCTAGACAGGTCACCAACCTGTTCTGAGACTAAATTTTCTCCTTTGTGGATGGGGACTATATGTGCCTTCTGAGGAGACTGCAGGGAGAAGGTAAAGAGAAGCAGAAGGATTCTCTCCTACCTTGCATTTAAGACCCAGAAAACAATATCATGATCAGAAAGACCTTGGAACAAACCCATTTCACTGGAAACAGTGGAAAGGAGGTTTAGGTTCTTAAAAACAGATTATCTTGTGAGAGAAAGCCTTGGGGAGTCTATAAAGTTGTCACAGAGAAGCCAGGGACCCATCACTTAGAAGTGGCACTAAGTATACCAGACACTGAAGAAAGCCGGATACTAAGAGCCCTCGCTCACTCTGAGGAAAGCCTGCTCTGCAGGGAGAGTACCAGCTTCATGCTCAGTACACTGGGCCAGGGTGAGAGCCCTTCCAGGTTTGGGACTGAGATGTTCGGAACTAACTGTCCATGCTGGAAAACTTCCTAACACCCTAAGTTCCCAGCCTCTCCCTGCAACAGAGTGTTGATCAACTTGAAGATGTTCCATTTCCTAGATTGATCAGAAAGGCAGCAGGTCCAGCAAAATCATGGGAGTTACACTGAGTTTAAAGAGCGACTGTTGGAGTTTCTTGCTCATTAATTTGAAGATATCACCTAGGCCAAAGTGCTGAGCAATTAGGGTGAGGGAACCTTCTCAAGGCTCTTCCTTGGATCAAGGACTTTCCCAGCCCAGAACAGAACAACTGGCCCAAGGTCAGAGGGAGTTAGAATTTTATTTAGCCAATCATTGCTTCTCACGTTCACCACGTCATGAGATAAAAATCTCTGTGTCTGAGAAGCTGGCGGAATTAAATTTAGATTTCCAGAGCACCCCGTCCTGCCAAACCTCTCAGAGGGAGGAGCAGCTGGCAGACTTCCCCTGGGATCTCACACCCAAAGCGTCTGGTGAATGGATCAGGTGGCTTTGCTCTCCCTGTGAGTATCTTCCTGATGGGAAGCATTGATCAGGATCAGGATGGAGTGCCCCATGGTCCCTGGAAGGAACACAGAGCACTCGTGCATGGCCTCCTCAGTCCTCTCAAAGAGACAGTGAGAATCAGATGAGAGAACGCATGTGAGGCATTTTCTGTATGGGTTATAAAGTTGCTTGTTGTCTTCACTGGGGTGAGCTGAAGGTGAGCAGCATTTGCTCCTGATGGGATCTCTCTCTCCCATACCAGGAAACCTCCACCAGCATCTTATGGTGCTGACTCCCCCTTGCTCAAGTCCCTAGAGGAACTTCCTCCTCCCCAGAACATCAAACACAGACTGCTCTTCTAGACACTGAACACCTCCTTGCTTCACTCCTCTCCCCTTGGAGATCATGCATCTGCCCTGTGGTGTTTCTGCACCACCATTCCTAGGATTTGGGCACATGTTTCCTCCATCTGTCCCCTGGTCTGCCCTGATTGAGATGGTTAGGTCTTCTAAAAAGAAAATTCAGGGCCATATTTTCTGGAACAATTCTGATTCTTGCCCAGGAGAGGGATGAGAAAGACAGCCTCTGGCTGGTGTTGCTCTTGTGCTTTTTCCAAGAGCCAACCTGAATTTCCTTAGAGCATCATGCATAGGTACGAAATCCTAAGGATAATTAATCCATACCCTGTAATAGGACTGATGGTGCCAGAAACTTGCATTCATTTTATGATCCAAGCTAGGCCCTTGGGCCTCTCCATGACTTTCTCCTTCCCTGGCATCTGATTTTATTCTTTCCATAAAATACAGAGTGTAGAATTGAGTGAAATTCTTTTTTTCTCAGGCCCTGCCACATGAACTCTTAGGCAGTGAAGATACAAAATGCCTCCGTACACATGTCCCTACCCACCCCTCCCTTCTTCCCTCAACCTCCTGCCAAATGGTTAGCCAACCACTGCTTGAAACTTGATAACTCCCCAAGTGCCCTCTCCTATCACAGGATCGTAGAAAGGTGCTTCTTATACGGAGCCAAATCTGCCGTAATCCCTACCTGTCTATCTGGGTCATCAGCTGAGACCAACCTCCCTTTCCTAAGGAAGTTTTTCAGATCTTTGCAGTTAGCTCTCACATTTCTCCCAAGACTTCTCTCCAGGCCCTCCAACCATTCTTCATGTGGCCAGGCTTTTGACTCCTCATCACTGCTGTCCTGGTCACTCTCCTCTGAGTAGACTCCTCTTACTACTGCCCCTGGCACTTAGAGTCCCCAGAGTGGCCTGAGAACAGAATGGGCTGCATAAGCCCTCTTCCTGGCTCTCCTCTTCCTGGTTCCCACAGCCTTACCCTGCCACCACCACGCCCCGTGACTAGTGTGTTTCCACAGCCAGCTGAACACTGTCAATCATTTTTATGACCACTGCTGTCTATCCAAGTCTTCCTGCCTAATCCTTGTGTGAGTTTCATCTCTCTGCCCGCTCTCCTGATCCTTTTGGGCACCCCTTCAATCCACCTTTCCTTTGCCCAGTCTGCCTCCAACAGGCCTGGTACTAAGACAAGTAAGATGGAAATAAACTTCTCAGAGAGAATTTTAGGTGTGCCTGAGAACTTAACATGTTATCAATATAGGCAGTGGTCATATCTGAGTAAAACCTACATCCAAATTCCACCTGTATTGCTTCAGGAAATGAGAAAGCAAGTCACAATTTTTGTGTGCCTCCTTTACAGAGACTCAGAAACACCTCACAGGATAAGGCAAAGGCTTAACTCATTCCCTTTTTAAATTTCTGCATCTTCGCCTTCCTGGAGGCATCAGTTAAAGATCCCCCTTGACTCCCACTCAATTAATGGGCCACAGCCCCTTGCCTCCCAGCTGTTTCTCTTGTCTTGCTTCTCCCTTTCATTCACACACATTCACTGTCTCTCACTTTTGAGTCTCTGAGCAGAACAGTCACATGACACTCAGTACCTGTCCCCGCTTTCTTCTCCAGGCCTGTTCCTCCTTCCAGCCCTCCAGAAGCCTGTTGCAACCAAACTTGCCTCCCCCAGCACTGGCACTGCTGAAGGTCCCACCGCTCCTGTTCTGGTAGATCTGCCTGTGTCCTCAGGCTAGGCAGTGCACAGAGGTACATACTCTGGTTTCTCCTCACTCTGAACCTTATTCTCCCTCATACTACATCATTTGAGTTGTGAGCGCACCTTAAGAGTCAGAAACATTGTCATGTAACATCACATTCCCAGTGTCTATGCCACAGCCTGCCACATGGTAGGAGCTTAATAAATACCACTGAACAATGTGTAATCAACTTTTAAATGATAGGCCACTTTAAAGATCAGCCGGGGATTTAGCTCAGCGGTTCTGCCTCCTACCTCACAAGCACAAGGTCCTGAGTTCAATCCCCTGTACCAAATAAATGAATAAATGTAAAATTATATCTGTAAGGATCTTCAAGATTGTGTGTAGCTTGTGCAATAAAAATAATAAAAACTTCAACTTCCCAAATGTGAATAATTTCAAAGACATGAAGAAATTAAAAAATTAACTCATCTGGCCAGATGGCATTTTGAGATCACAGAAAAATTTATTTTAAAGAGAACAGAAATGCCAAGCCCAGAGGGTACAACTTTTGACCAGGAAATGATGAAGTCACAAGCCCTTCCAAGGGGCCCTTACAGGACCCATCAGATGCTCCGAAAGACTTATGAACTTGGTGGTTGTGTCAGGACTCAGCAAGCACATGCAATGAACTCCAGACCTGGGAAGCAAAGCCATGCTCCCTCTGCCAGGGCTGATACTGTCCCACTCCTACCCCCTCCAGCACACCTCAAGCATTTTATATATGACTGTAAATTAGGAGTTACATTCTCACAAAGTACTCAGAGCCACAGAGCACAGATGGTAGAAGGAATTTATAAGGTCTTAGAAAGGGCATCAAACTGCCTTGCAAAAAATGGGCAGATTCCAGGCAGACTCAAGCCCAAACCCTAAGCCAGATGCTTACACTCCTCAGGCCCAGGGGCACCTGGATGGAGCAGAGCTGGGGAAAGACAGATGGACGCAGAACTTGACCATCTGTCTATCACCCTCCACCCCAACCCTGCTAAGAACAATTCTCCCTTTGGACAAGAAATGCACCTCTCCTTCCTCCTTGAGACAGCACGTGTTCATCTGGCTGCTGACCTGGGACAAGGATAAAGCTTCTGGGGACAGGATGGGGACAAGTATGACCTACAGGCATATGATATAGGCAGCAAATCTACACCTGCCATCCACATGAAGGAGTGAGGTTAAAGACCAAGAAGCAGGAATCGGTCCTGGTACAAGGTTTACCTTACCAAGCTAGCTTCTTGGAAATCAGCCACTTGCTCAAAGAGATCGACCCGGGTCCCTTAGGAGAGACTGGATTGTTGTTCATGGAGAGGCCCAGGTGCAGAGGAGCCTGGAGTAAGACCCTAGATGTAGCTGGCATCGACTCTGGTTTATCTCCCTGGAGGATACTCCACAGGCTCTTTTCCTCCTCCACTTAACCAGGCCAGAAGTGTACCCAGGGATGGGTGTAGAGGCAGCCCAGGGGAGGCTGAGTGAGAAGGTGTCTGTGACATCAGGAGCCAGTGCCCTCCAAAGAGAGCTGCTAATTGGGCTTAGCCACCCTGCTTCCCCACCTAGAGCTGGATTTTATTAACAAAACTGCTGAGACCCATCAGGTAGAGCTAAGTGAGAGTCAGGGACAGCGTGGCAAGGTTGGGGCCGGCGACCAGAGGAGTCCCGCGCCGTCGGGGGCTGGGGGGGGGCGGGGCTGGGGGCGCGGCCTCAGAGGGGCCTCTACTCCACCACTCGCCTGCGGG